TTTGGGGAGCGGGGAACGTTGCACTGGCCGGAATAGGAGCGCGGGAGGCGCCGGAGAGGCGGGATGCGGCCGGAGCGCGGCGCTCCGGGCCACCCTCGTTGGCTTTTTTAGCCTTTTTGGAAAAATAACTGCAGAAGCCATGAGCAAAATAGAGAATCTTTCAGGGAAGGGAGTGGGGCGGGAAGAAGAAGAAAAAAAAAAAAACCCTAATGCCTTTAATATACGCATTAAAATGTACCTTTTTTTTTTTCCCAATTGTATGGGTGGAGCTGGGAGCGATTGGGAGCCTGACGCGGATTGTGGGGAGCTGCGGAATGCCAGGAGCTTGGCGGGATCGCCCTCCCCTTTGTTCCCCTATCACCTTGACTCATGCCTTAACTACGCCAACACTTTACGGGATCAGGGTCTATGGACACGAGGAGCCCGGCCGCGGCGCTTCCGGAGGCCTCGGAAGGACGTTCCCGCAGAGGGCGGCTCGATCCCGGAGGGAACGGGAGCTGCGCGGGAGTTTGCCGTGGAAACGTTGCTGTATTTGCTGGGAATGTGCTCTTCCCCTCCGGAGCTGCGGCTCTCGTTACAGGAATTACCTGGAGTTCCGCATCCCGCCCAGGAGCGCCCTTCTCTCCCGCTCCGCAGGGGCAAAGCTCCGGCAATTCCTTGGAATTCCTTGGAAGGGACTTGGAAGCAGCCGCTCTCCAAGGAGAGAGGGAGCCCCCGGAGCCAGGAATTGGGGGGAACTCAGGAACTAGGAACACGAGGCCTTTTGGAGCAGCGATTCCCAGCGGGACCCCCTCGCACCCAAGTGCCCGAGTCCGGGAATGCTGCTTCCCCTTGGGAGAAGGGGGGGAAATCACCTTTTTTCGCACTTCAAGGAAAAAAAAAAAACAGGATTTGACTACGTGGGACTGTTTTGGCTTTAAAAAGTTGGGATTTGGGGCCGGCGTTTCTTCTCATAGCCATTGCACTGCGACTGGGAGCTCCGGCTTCAGGGATAAAGGACTCCGGACCCTCAGGTGCTCCAGGTTCAGGGATAAAGGACTCGGGATCTCAGGACACCGGCCCAGCAGCAGCTCCGGGGAGGAAGCTTATAAATACCGTTCTAAATAAAAACCCTATATATTCCGATGTGCCAAAATATTTAAACTTGTGAAGTTTAAATGGGCGAGATCTCGACGTCCACCTGTATTAATTAATCAAGAGCATGTTAATGTTTAAACCATTTTTTTTTTGCTTTGTTTAGTCATAGAGAAGCCGTAGGAAAGAGACTTTGAAGCGGACAACCAGCTGCCATCCCAGGTTGTATTTTAGGGGGAAAAAGCCCCGGAGCGACGCCGGGAAGGGAGGATCAGCCCGGAACGGCGGCCGGGCCTCCCCGATCCCTCCTGCCTCCATCCGGACGCGGATCCGGCGGGAGCATCCCGGCGCGGAGCCCGGAGCAGCCCCTCTCCAAGCATTAACCCTGCCGCTCGGTTGTTCCTTGGTTTTTATTTATTCCATAACGACGTTTTCGTTTTTAAAGTAACCTCCTTTGCTTTATTTTATTATGTTTTTTTCTTCTGGATCCTGGTGGGTTTCAAGAGGATTTCTGCTTTTTTTTGGGTTTGAATCGTAATCAGATTGTTTTAAAAAAATAAATGTTCGATTTTAGAGTGTTTTTAAGGAGAAAATATTTACCGATAGCTTTTTTTTTTAAAAGAAATCACTTTTCCTGAGGCATGTTGTTTATTAGACTCGATTCAGCAGGGATGAGGATGGATGCATACACATAAAGCAGTGAATTTGCCAGCTCGAGCTGTCCATTGCAAGCAGGATTCCAAGTGTGTGTGTATAATGTACATAAAAATGTAAAGTAGTCCTTAAATACTCCATTGTGCAGTGCCTTTAGACGTTCCACTTTCTATAAAGTCTTCAAAAAAAAGGTTGCATATATATATTATATATATATATGATGTAATGTTATAGAAATATATGTATAATATACATATTTTTTCCAGGGGTATCTGATAGCTCTGTATTTTGTTATGGAAGTTGAAAGAAAAAAGAAAAAAAACAAAGTATTTTACCTCAAATTAAGAAGTTAAATAAACCTTTTAAATAAGCAGCTCTGCGTGTCGCTCGCTCCGACAGGAAGCGGATTCGGGATCTCTCCCAGGTTTTTCCTAGAGGTGGGAGCTGGAAGCAGCCGGGCCCTGCGGCTCCGGGGGTTGTTTTTCCCAAGGGAGCTGCCGCCTCCGGTTCTTATTTACGGGAGCAATCCAGCCGTGCTGGAATGGGGCCGGGAATGTCCCCTTTTTGGGGGGGATTTGGGAATGTTTTCGGGTTTGCGGTACCGCCTTTCCCGGCGTTGGAAACTCGGGAGCGGC